GGCGTCGCGGGCCTCCACCTGGAAGCTGAACTCCTTGAGCTGCTCGTAGTCGAAGGAGCGCAGGGCGTAGAGGAAGCCGTTCTCGGAGTTGATGGAGACGTAGGTGAAGACGGACATGCCCTGGATCTGGCTCTCCAGGATGGAGTAGGCGAGCTGGGCGTTGGCGCCCTGGTCCCGGTCGGTGGCGCTGACGGCGTAGATGTAGGCGCCGGGCACGTTGTTCTCGCTCACGTAGACCTGGTAGACGGGCTGGCTGAAGCGCGGCGCGTTGTCGTTCACGTCGCTCACCCGCACCTGGATGGACTTGGTGGTGCTGAGCGGCGGCTGGTTTTAACTCCGTTTACCACCACTCTCTGGGCACAGCCATCCAGCCAGTTTTTTACCCAGCAAAGCGTACACCTGTCCAGGACATGAGCAGCCAATTTCTTCAGGAGAAAACTGGCTGTTTTAATGGAAGGTTCTGCTCATTACGTCTGAATTTACAACCCACCTGCACTTTATTTTTGTGACTGTTTTCCAAGGGACATTTCAGCTTTTCAAGGGAATACATCTTCGAAGTGGAACAACTCCTCAGCATGACACAGGTACGTGCCCCTGCGTCACTGGAGTTTTATCCCTGTAAGAGTCAGACGCTCAGCGTGCTGGGCTGTGTAGTTATTTGCAAACTCTGGCAGTTTAGTTGAGGTTTAGCTGGGATATAAGACTTCAAATGCAGGAACTTGAGCTATAGCAAGCAAAAAGGTTCATTCTTTGGGGAAGGATTTTGCTATAGAAGTTGTTCAATTGCTGATTGCCTTTGATAAGTAAATACGGTGCACAGCCTTTACTATTTCCACAAGAAATTTTGTGTACTGGGACGGTGAAATGCAGAGAGCATCCCCACACTGGGTACTGGGAAGAGGCAGAAAAAGGCAAAACCAGGGAGGCAGGTCGACTCCTGTTGCACAGAGAAGAGGGAGGAAGAAATATTCTCTGAGGGACAGGCTGGCACCAGAGTGATGAACTGACACAAATAGTCACCGCGCAAAGGACGACACTTCACAAAACCAGAAGACACCGCTGCACTGATGCATGACGCAGCTTAGTAAACATTACACTCCAAAAGGAGCTGAGGGAGAGGGATGTCTGAGGTATCCTCTTGGAAGTAAATGAAGGAAATCAGAAGATGCCTGGACCCGACAGTGAAAACCCTCGTAGGTGCGCAGGGAGTTGGTGCCCACGTCGGGGTCGAAGGCGCTCTCCAGGGGGAAGCGGGTGCCCGGCGTGGCGCTCTCCGAGATCTCCACCGTCAGGTCGGGCTCCGGGAAGGAGGGCGGGTTGTCGTTGATGTCCAGCACCTCGATCTCCACCCGGAACAGCTCCAGGGGGTTCTCCAGGAAGACCTCCAGGTGCAGCAGGCAGGAGGGGCTCTGCTTGCAGATCTGCTCCCGGTCGATCTTCTCATTCACGTAGAGCACCCCGGTCTCCAGGTTGAGCTCCAGGTAAGGGCTGCGGGAGATGGGCGCCGTCTGGAAGCGGCGAGCCGAAAGTTTTGTAATGTCCAAGCCCAGGTCCTCGGCGATATTCCCCACGAACGTGCCATGCTCCTGCTCTTCCTGCACCGTGTAATGGAGCTGGCAAAGGGCCCCCTCCACCAGCCAGAGCGCGGCGAAGAGGAATAGCACGATCATCTCCAAAGGGGAAAAGAGATCCCCCCCTCCCCAACGCCACCTCTTCCTCCTCTTCCCAAAGCCACCGCCACCACCTCCTCCTCCGAAAACACACAGTACGGTGCGTGTGCCTGTGCGTGTCTGTCTGTCCGTGTGTGTGCGGGTGTCTGTCTGTGTGTGCGCGCGTGTGTGTGTGTCCGCGCCT